GGGCAGGCCGGGGGATCCCCTGGTTCCCCGGGATGCAGGGGCTACTATCCCCTTTTCCCCTTCCCAGGGTCCATGACCAAGACCTGGTTGATGCGGTCCTCCTGGCCACGAAGACGTTCAGCCATCTCGGCTGTCGGCTCGGTCGCTCCTGCTGAATCCATGGATATGATGCGTGATTCTGTCAGAGTGGTGTGTGTAGATGAGTGGAAAGGAATCAAGCGCAGGAACCAGGATGACTTCAACCGTCTTTTATATATACGTTCAACACGTGAACCCAAAAATAGTCGCCAACCCAACCGGGTGGCGCAAAACAATTACGCACAAAACACGGTGCGAAATACACAAGAAAAGCGCACGCAGTGCGAACTCTCGGGACAAGCCAACAACGAGAGAAAGGTATCCTTACAGAGGCAGTCTGACAAAAACAATCACGCATAACACCTGACCCACACACACGAAACTAAATAGGGAAACAATTAAGACACAAATAAGGGACAGGTGTTATGAACAGACAAAACCAAATGAACATGAAACATAGAACGGTGGCAGCTAGTACTCCGGAGACGACGACCGCCGAAGCCTGCCCGAACAAGGAAGAGGAGCAGCCTCGGCCGAAACCGTGACAACGTTTGCCCACTGACAAAGGAAGTATCAGTCTATCATTTTAATGGTAGGTTTATTTGAACAGTGAGAGACAGAATAACAACAAAAAAATCCAGAAAAACGCATGTCAAAAATGTTATAAATTGATTTGCATTTTAATGAGGGAAATAAGTATTTGACCCCCTCTCAATCAGAAAGATTTCTGGCTCCCAGGTGTCTTTTATACAGGTAACGAGCTGAGATTAGGAGCACACTCTTAAAGGGAGTGCTCCTAATCTCAGCTTGTTACCTGTATAAAAGACACCTGTCCACAGAAGCAATCAATCAATCAGATTCCAAACTCTCCACCATGGCCAAGACCAAAGAGCTCTCCAAGGATGTCAGGGACAAGATTGTAGACCTACACAAGGCTGGAATGGGCTACAAGACCATCGCCAAGCAGCTTGGTGAGAAGGTGACAACAGTTGGTGTGATTATTCGCAAATGGAAGAAACACAAAAGAACTGTCAATCTTCCTCAGCCTGGGGCTCCATGCAAGTTTTCACCTCGTGGAGTTGCAATGATCATGAGAACGGTGAGGAATCAGCCCAGAACTACACGGGAGGATCTTGTCAATGATCTCAAGGCAGCTGGGACCATAGTCACCAAGAAAACAATTGGTAACACACTACGCCATGAAGGACTGAAATCCTGCAGCGCCCGCAAAGTCCCCCTGCTCAAGAAAGCACATATACATGCCCGTCTGAAGTTTGCCAATGAACATCTGAATGATTCAGAGGAGAACTGGGTGAAAGTGTTGTGGTCAGATGAGACCAAAATGGAGCTCTTTGGCATCAACTCAACTCGCCGTGTTTGGAGGAGGAGGAATGCTGCCTATGACCCCAAGAACACCATCCCCACCGTCAAACATGGAGGTGGAAACATTATGCTTTGGGGGTGTTTTTCTGCTAAGGGGACAGGACAACTTCACCGCATCAAAGGGACGATGGACGGGGCCACGTACGGTCAAATCTTGGGAGAGAACCTCCTTCCCTCAGCCAGGGCATTGAAAATGGGTCGTGGATGGGTATTCCAGCATGACAATGACCCAAAACACACGGCCAAGGCAACAAAGGAGTGGCTCAAGAAGAAGCACATTAAGGTCCTGGAGTGGCCTAGCCAGTCTCCAGACCTTAATCCCATAGAAAATATGTGGAGGGAGCTGAAGGTTCAAGTTGCCAAACATCAGCCTCAAAACCTTAATGACTTGGAGAAGATCTGCAAAGAGGAGTGGGACAAAATCCTTCCTGAGATGTGTGCAAACCTGGTGGCCAACTACAAGAAACGTCTGACCTCTGTGATTGCCAACAAGGGTTTTGCCACCACGTACTAAGTCATGTTTTGCAGAGGGGTCAAATACTTATTTCCCTCATTAAAATGCAAATCAATTTATAACACTTTTGACATGCATTTTTCTGGATTTTCTTGTTGTTATTCTGTCTCTCACTGTTCAAATAAACCTACCATTAAAATGATAGACTGATCATTTCTTTGTCAGTGGGCAAACGTATAAAATCAGCAGGGGATCAAATACTTTTTTCCCCTCACTGTATCTTAAGATGAATGCACTAACAGTAAATCACTCTGGATAAGAGCATCTGCTAAATGACTAAAATGTAAATGTAAAAGATAGAGAACAAGCTATGAAGGAAAAATACTGACGATTTTTCCCCCCATCACTATAATTTATGAGAACAGTGTGGGAAAATGACACTTTGTTATCAGAAGATATATCGGTATCGGTAAGGTTTGCTCGCCAAAAAATCTGAATCGGTGTCGGACCCCAAAAAAAACATATTGGTTGGGCTCTAGTGTTGGGTTTTTAAATGATAGTATTAGTAACTGAAAGTCATAACAGATATGGAGGCAGCAGTAGGGGGACGTCCAGCTCTGACATCACCCCATTGAAGTTGACATTTAAAATGGTTAAGGTTAAGTAAGGGTTATGGGTAAGGGCAGGGTTTAGGTTAAGGACGTCCCAAGGATCCCAGATAGCACTAACCTTCCTCAAACTGAAGTCAGGGGGTGAGGTCACTGTAGAGTGAAAGAGACTGTCAAATAAGTGCACTGCTGCTTCACTATGTGTATATTGTACATAGGGGGTTAGTGGATATATCACTAACACACTCACAAAACGTGTGAACAAATGTGTGAATATATACCAGTACCCTACAAACATATTTCATATATATAGATAGAGTAGCAGAGTAATTACATAAGCCTAAGTAATGAGACATGTCTGTGTTGGTGTTGTTGTAAGAGAGTGATACATCTTGTGTTTGGACTGTTTTTTTTCTCCATGGACAGGAAGAGAGCCAAGGAGAAGGTTAGGTATGAAATTGATGTTGTTGGTGTGACAGTTCTATTGCTATTATCTCCTATGAATCTATCTCAGCTTGTAAGAGAAGAGAAGCCAAAAAGGAGGGAGGGAGGGAGGGAGGGAGGGAGGGAGGGAGGGAGGGAGGGAGGGAGAAAATGCACTCGGGCCCATCATGTGATTTTTGTTTGTATCTTTTTTATATAGTTTCACAACAATTACATGTTTCTTAACGTCCATGGGTTGTTAGCAGATTTTTCCAGACCTTTTGAACTCTCTCTTCTTTTCTTTGGCCCGGCTCAGACAGCATACTTTCCCTCGTCTCTTTCTTTTTTGGAAGGTGCTCCGGTCCAAGTGTGTGACGTGTTAGTGGAGTTACAGCCTGTGTTTCACTTGTGATTTAAGGACTTGCGGACTAATGGAGGAGAGGATGTTTACTTGACCTGTCAATGGGACTACAGGGCTGAAGTTGTAAACTAGTTGAACTGCTGGTATTTATTTAGGCTTGAAGCTGTGTGCTTTGTCTTCATAGGGTGGCACAACGGACAGAGAGAACAGCGGGAGAGCGTGGTGTGAGGGTGTGTATGTGTGTTTGGAAGAGAGAAACAGACTGACAGAAACAGAGACAGTATGTAGTGTGTGTGTGTGTGAGAGAGAGAAGGAGAGAGTAACTGTAACCTGGATCTATTGCACATGGACAGAGGGAGGTAGATGAGCCACTAGAACACCTAGGGAGTCTACCTGACGTGGAGGGAGGACCACTGACGCCAGAGAGGACCAGAGAGGGAGATCAACAACACTAAGCTAGGACAGGATGAGGTATCGAGGCAGGGTAAGATCCTTATCCCTTTTCATGCTGCTCATAACATGTCATAGATGTGTGTGTGTGTGTGTGTGTGTGTGTGTGGGTGTGTTGGGACATTTCGTCAGTCCCCACAAGCAAAAAAGTGGGGACATTTTGTCAGTCCCCACAAGGAAAAAGGCTATTTTAGGCTTAGGGGTTAGGTTTAGGGTTACAATTAGGGTTAGGTTTAGAATAAGGGTTAGGTTTAGGGTTAGGGGTTAATGTTAGTTAGGTTTAGGGTTAGGTGTTAGGGAAAATATGATTTTGAATGGGAATCAATTGTTTGGTCCCCACAAGGATAGTAAAACAAACATTTGGACTATAGTTCTCCCACCATTACTATGAGTCATCTACATTGCCTGGGACTGGCACTAGGCTCTCCAGGGACATACTGTAGCTGGTGGCTGGTATTTTTCCACACTGTCCAGTGCTAGCACATCCATGCTGGAGAGCCAGCTGTGGAGCTGGTGTGTGTCCACCCATAGTAGGTATGTCTGGGGACGGAGCAGAAGGGCACCTTATAAGGAAGAGACTGAGGGGAATCAGCCCAGCGGTGCTGACTTAAGGGGCCCAGAGCCAAGTCCCACTGAAGCCTCCCTGCTGCCTCTCATTGATGCATCATCCACAACTCTCTTGGCTCCATAGGACTATAACACCCTCAACCCTCACCTACTTGTTGTGTGTATGTACTGACATGTACAGTATGTACAACTGATAGATGCACACACAAACTACATGTTAATGGTTTTAAATGTATGTAGATTGTAAAAGTATTTTGTCTGTAATGTAGTTTTCGTTATGTCGGACCCCAGTAAGACTAGCTGTCGCCATTGGCGTCGGCTAATGGGGATCCTAATAAATCAAATAAAAATAGGACTACAACACCCACAAGCCTCTGTACTCCATAAGACTACAACACTTACATCCCTCACTACTACATACTACAGTATTGCAGCACCAACAGCCCTCACTGCTCTATTGGACTACAACATCCACAATAATCACTGTTATTCAGGACAACTCCACTCACAACCCTCACTGCTCCATAGAATTACAACACACAAAAACTACAACACCAACGACTACAACACCTACATCCTCACAGGTCCATCAGACTTCATTACCCACAGGGCCGATGGATACTGTACACAGAGGCTTGTGCTTTTCTCATATTATATAGAACATGTGTACCTACTGCACTCATCTCTTCTAAGGGCCACAGGACCCTGGTCACGGGGCCATAGTAACTAGGCCTAAACTACTTGAGAGTCCACTCACAACCTTTTAAAGAGGCAGCATTTTAGAGAAACACACAAACAGCCAAACACACAAAAGACACATTCAGTGGAGTTTCTTGAAGACCTGACCCTAAGCCTGACTCTAAAATACTTCAGTTGTATCCTTTGGAAAATCACTATACGTGCGTTTGTGAGAGGGGATTCCTCTGTGTGTTTTACTTGCTGCAGGAAGGCCATCTGCGAGAACAATACGCTGAGGTAGAGGGGGGCTAGGTAGGAGTGCAGAGTGGAAGTGTCTCCTGGCTTTCCCCTGCTCATAGTTCTTGGCTTCACTCCACTGTTGTCCTTGTGTTGTTTCAAGGATTTTCCACCATTAAGTGTTCAGAGAAAACGACCAGTTAATGACATTAACCAACCCCTAACGACACCCTTGAGAGGACTGTGTGTTCCCAAAGCCCCTGGTCCCATTGTTCCTCTCCCAGTGTGTGTGTGTGTGTGTGTGTGTGTGTCTTGGTGTGTGTGTGTGTTAACACCTGATACAGTGAGTGATCAAACAGACTAGAGGGTGATTGGTTGTAGGAGAACGGGGCTGGAATGCAGGATGTAGCCTTGACATTACTGTTCTGTACTGGTGGATAATAGTAGTCGTAACTGGATAATGCACACACCAATTCGCGGTAGGTATATTTATTTGTGTCTGTTCTCTTCGGATATTTTACAGATAACATGTCTGTGAACTTCTCTGGGTATTAATTCCTGTCTGTGCTCTGATGTTTGTCATCAGAATACCAGGGTTTACATGTACACACACCTCTTTAGCAGCATGGGTCAGAACCTGACTGGCGCTATAGCCTGTATTTACTGTATATACATCCCAATACGCTATCTCACAATCACACAATAGAGGATCTTAGAGACACTGTTTATATTAGGGATTATTGAAATGGCTTCATTGTTTGATTTGTGTTCTGCATGTCTGAACATCCTGTGTGTGCTTTCCTCTGGTTGATGTGGTTGTCCGTGACAAGCCTCTTGTGGAGGTGTTTATTTGCAGTGCTGTTGTGTTGTCAGTATACTCCCAATCCCAACTCGACCCTCTGCCCTACCCTCCATGCACTTGTGTAGATCTAAGAGGTTTGGATTGGTATAAGTGATATGGGGAATTCCTCCTAGCCTATCAAAGGGCAAGGTGAGGATTTTAACATATTGCTTATACCTATCAAATTATTTCAGGTTTGCCTCCTGAGTGGCGCAGCGGTCTAATGCTTGAGGCGCCACTAAAGCCTAGAGTTCGATCCCAGCCGTCTGTGACTGGGAGACCCAAAAGGCGGTGCACAATTGGCTAGCACCATCCGGGTTAGGGGAGGGTTTGGCCGGCAGGGCTTTCTTTAGCTCATCGCTCTCTAGCGACTCCTTATTTCGGGCCGGGCGCATAAGAAGTGGTAGATCTGTTCTATGCTTCCGGTGCGTAAATTTTGTTTTTGCGTCTTTTACTTTCAGTTTTGTACACCAGCTTCAAACAGCTGAAAATACAATATTTCTGGTTATTGAAAATATATTTCACAGCGGTTTAGATGGTAAAATGATCCTTTACACTCTGAATGCTTGTTTTGTCACAAACTGAAATTAGGCAAACTATTAGAATTTTAGCAACCAGGAAATGGCGGAGCGATTTCTGCATATTGCACCTTTAAGACAGTGCGTTAAGAAGCAGCGTCGCTTGACAGGTCATGTTTTGGAGGATGCATGGCTCGACCTTCGCCTCTCCCGAGCCCGTTGGGAAGTTGCAGTGATGAGACAAGGTCGTAACTCCCAATTGGATGTCACGAAATTGGGGAGAAAATGTGATAAAAATAATTAAATAACAATCTTTCAGGTCTAGTTGAAGTGCATAGTGGTAGGTTTCAATTTGGATAAAAGCGTATGCTAAATTTCATATAATATTATTATTATATTATTTGGGATTGTATGTATCTGGGAAAGAGCGGCAGGCATTGAAGTCTCCCCCCTTCTATCTCTCTATCTCTCTCTCTCTCTCTCTCTCTCTCTCTCTCTCTCTCTCTCTCTCTCTCTCTCTCTCTCTCTCTCTCTCTCTCTCTCTCTCTCTCTCTCTCTCTCTCTCTTTCTCTCTATAGGAGGTGGGAGGTGAGAGCGGAGTTCATCTAGTCATGGAGAGTACTCTGACAGCGCGGGACAGGGTGGGGGTGCAGGATTTTGTGCTGCTGGAGAACTACACCAGTGAGGCGGCCTTCATTGAGAACCTGCGCCGACGCTTTGGAGAGAAACTCATCTATGTAAAGAATCATATCATAGGCTATATGGAAATCTTATCATAAAAATGACCCAGCATACAGATGTAGGATCTCAATTTGATCACTATTTTGTTGTTATAGAATTTTCCTGCACAGCAGGAAATGCAAACTTGTAGTGGATTCAAGGTTTTAAAAGGCTTCTAAAGTTTGGATTTTCCACTACATGTTTTTGACTTGATTTGCCTTGTACCCTACAAAAAATGTCCAATAATTATAATCCACAGAATAATTCACATTTCCTGTTGCTGCAGGATAATTTTCCTGCTTTAGCAATCTGGCTGAAATTAAGATCCTACATCTGTAGCTTTAACATAATGTTTGGTATTGGTTGATTTTATATCAGTGTTTGTGTGGGTTTTGTATTAGAGGGGTTGGTGACTCCAGTGTGCGGATCTTGTCTCCCTGTATCAGACCTACATAGGGTCAGTGTTGGTGTCAGTGAACCCATACAAGGACCTGGAGATCTACTCCAAGGCACACATGGAGCGCTACCGAGGGGTCAGCTTCTACGAGATATCACCCCACATGTAAGTCACCCTCTGACCTCTGACCCCTGATCCTTAACCTTTCTCTGACCCAGCAGGACCAGCATGAGTGTGTGTATATGTGAATCTGCTCTGGGAACATTACATTTACAGTATGTAGTGTATGTTTGGAATCAGATGGTGATCCACTGTATGTGAATACACCAGTATGAGCCCAATCACTAGCTGATATCATGTTTGTATCCCATCCTTCTGTTTCTCTATCCTGTAGCTATGCGGTGTCAGACAACACGTACCGGGCCATGCGGACTGAGAGGAGGGACCAGTGTATCCTGATCTCTGGGGAGAGCGGAGCAGGGAAGACTGAGGCCTCCAAGAAGATCCTCCAGTACTATGCCACTACCTGCCCTGTCACTGACCACATGAGCACGCTCCGGGACCGGCTGCTGCAGTCCAACCCTGTTCTGGAGGTACACACCCCACCCTCTCCCAAGATCCCCTTCCCACCCAAGATCCTCTTCCCAGGATCTCTTCCTATGAGCACCTCTATAGGCTCTGGAGGAAGAAGAACATTTATAGCAGGGGTACTGAGACTGGTGTAACATCAATGAGAGAAGCCCACTACAAAATCATGTTGCTTCAAAGAAGTAACTCTATTGGTGGATGAGGGAAAGCATGTTGATCCACTGCATATTTTGAACCAATCTCTGACAAATCCATAACAATAGATACGTGCTGCTGTGAACATGCTATTACTGTACTGTTAATGTTTCCTCTCTCTCAGCTGTGTATGATCTTATCTCTGTTGTTTCCCTCACTCACTTCCTCTCTCTCTCTCTTTTTCTGTCTCTCTCTCTACAGGCCTTTGGTAATGCCAAAACATTGCGAAACGACAATTCCAGCCGCTTTGGAAAATACATGGATGTCCAGTTTGACTTCAGGGTAAGCCTGTTTTCTCTTCCTTTGGCTCCTGGGTTGAGGGATTTCCCACACATAAGTCTACCATCGCTGACACTCATGCCATCCTACTCTACAGCACACCATTCCATCAAAAGATTGTGCATAACTAATAAATGTGACATTCAGGGCTTACCATACAGCATGCCTTACTATGAATCTAAAACATGATGCAGCTAAAGCAGCTCTAGTAGGACCACACTCAACAGTACCTTGATGGTCCCTGTCCCTAACCTCCCCTAGGGGGCGCCGATAGGAGGCCACATCCTCAACTACCTACTGGAGAAGTCCCGTGTGGTGCACCAGAACCACGGAGAGAGGAACTTCCATATCTTCTACCAGCTGCTGGAGGGAGGAGAACAAGACCAGCTCAGCAAGCTGGGCCTGGAGAGAAACGCTCAGAAATACCACTACCTGGTCAAGGTGTGTTTGTGTGTGTTTGTGTGTGTGTGTGTGTGTGTGTGTGTGTGTGTTGTATGTGTGTGTATAGTGATTTGAACAGTGATGTCCTGTACCTCTCAGGGTTGCTGTCCCAGGGTGAGCTCCATCAATGACAAGAATGACTGGAAAACAGTGAGGAAAGCCCTGACGGTCATCGGCTTCCATGAGGAGGAGGTGGAGGTCAGAAACACTTGAGTGTACATCAGAGGAGGCTGGTGGGGGGAGCTTTGGAAGGACGGGCTCATTATAATGCCAGGAATGGAATGATTGGAAAGATATCAAACACATCAAACATATGGAAACCTCATGTTTGACTCTGTTCCAATTATTATATTACAGCCATTACAATGAGCCCGTCCTCCTATAGCTCCTCCCACCAGCCTCCACTGGTGTACATACTGTATGTCACTGCAAATACCCACCCAAAGTTTCACTCCAAAAACAGTGAGAAGGTCATGGTTTAATTGTGTCTCTTCTCTCTCCCCGCTAGGATTTGTTGAATATAATCGCAAGTGTCCTCCATCTTGGGAACACTCAGTTTGGAGAAGGGGAGGATGGAGAAACCCAGATCACCACTGAGCCACAGCTCAAATACCTGTCCAAGGTTAGAACTTTGAATATGAACTATACACCCTCCCCCAGACAGACACATTCCCCAATTCTCCATTTTAAAGGCAGATGTTGATGTTGTCCTGCTTGTTCTGCAGCTGCTGGGTGTGGATGGAGAAGCGCTGAGAGAGGCTCTCACTCATAAGAAACTCACTGCCAAAGGGGAGGAGGTGAGTGTCTATGGTGGGATGTTTCACTTCATACAGAACTATGCCTGCAGCCTGCTAATATCATTTTTATATAATCTAATTTAATATCCCACTTACCAACAAGTAATACAGTATGCCTCTGATGTGTATGGCATACATATTTTTATTAATTTGATTAATTGTTTTGTTTAAAAGAGAGGGTACTGATAAAGTACAGCTGAGCCCAGAAATAACACATGAAAGTATTTGCAGCTCATATTTCCAATGTGTGTGTACGTATGCATGTGTACTGCGTACTTATGTGTGTGTGTTCTAGATGATAAGCCCGTTGAGTTTCGAGCAGGCTGTGGCAGCTCGTGATGCCTTGGCCAAAGCGGTGTACGGCCGTGCCTTCACCTGGCTGGTGGCAAAGATCAACCAGTCTCTGGCTTTCAAGGTCACACACATCAATCATGATAGCTAGCTAGCAAAACAATTCACGTATTTACTGTTAGTTATTGCTCTCTCTTTGCCAGCTACCGTAATGCTGCTTGTTACCTCCAAAACTGAGTGGATTGTGTGCTGTCTATCTACAGGATGAAGTGTACAACAGCAGTAAGGGCTCGTCATCAGTCATAGGACTGCTGGATATCTACGGCTTTGAGGTCTTCCAACACAATAGGTACCTGAAAACATTCTAGCTGTTAACTTACTGTGTGTGTGTGTGTGTGTGTGTGTGTGTGGTGTGTGTGTGTGTGTGTGTGTGTGTGTGTGTGTGTGTGTGTGTGTGTGTGTGTTTGATAGCCATTTGTTTGTACAGTATCGCTGCATTTAAACAGTCAGCCCAATTCTGATATGTTTTCCTCTAATTGGTCTTTTGAGCAATCACATCAGATCTTTTCACATCAGATATTTTTCAAAGCTGATCTGATTAGTCAAAATATCAGAATTAGGCAGCCTAATTAACATATTGTAGCGCAGTTGTTTTGTGCCATCTTTCTAATCCTAACCATCTCCCTGTAGTTTTGAGCAGTTCTGCATCAACTACTGCAATGAGAAGTTGCAGCAGCTGTTCATCAAGCTCACCCTCAAGTCTGAGCAGGAGGAGTACGAAGCAGAGGGCATCACTGTGAGTCTGTGTACTCAGAGAAAAAGAGGGGTGTTTTCATTCAAATAGACAAAACAAGAATAGAGATATACTAACAAAGGCATATTGTCATGTAGTGATGAGGGTGTAGTTCATTAAATGCAACTGTGTATTTCAGTGGGAGCCGGTGAAGTACTTTGACAACAAGATCATCTGTGACCTGGTGGAGGAGAAACACAAAGGCTTCATCTCCATCCTGGTGAGAATGACTGGCATTCACTTCCGTTTAGTCGTTTATCTGACTCTCTTTAGCCTTTCTCCTCTCTTTGGTATCTCTCTCCATCTGTCCTCTCCCTGTCTCTATTTGAATGTTAACGTATAAATGTGAAATGTGTTGTAGGATGAGGAGTGTTTGAGACCAGGGGAGCCCAGTGATATCTCCTTCCTGGAGAAGCTCGAGGACACTTTGGGAGGCCATGCCCATTTTGTCACGTGAGTCCAATCTTTCTCTTACACACACACAAACACTACACACATTTCACAGTTTGTTTGTGTATTTGCACCATGACCCGAACATTTATTTGTGTGTATATTTGTGGCTCTGTATCTAAGATATGAATTGTCTCTATGTCTGTCAGTCACAAATTGGCGAATGGGAAGACTCGCAAGGCAGTGGGCAGGGAGGAGTTCAGACTGATTCATTATGCAGGAGAGGTCAACTACACTGTCAATGGTGAGCTAGCTAATCAATCAGTCAATAGTATAACTGCCGGTTCTGTGTCAGAGGAACCAGTTCCGGTGGCATGCATTGAAACGCGTGGCCTTATCGTGGCTTTCTTTTGCAAATTACTATGAATTATTCCTAAAACGTACTAAACATCATATAAAGGTGTGGGACATTTATTGTGTGACAAGAAATAACTAGCAGGTCTATTTCACTTCAGCAACTAGAATTTGTCCGTCCACAATTCAACTGTAGGAACATGGCGGCTCTCAATACCAGACAACAGAAAGAGGTGGCCCCTACTATATGAGAGATTGTTTGTGTGGAGATTACCTCTGCACTCGACTTACAATTAAAACCGGTAAATGACTCATTGGCAGTGCTCACTGCTGAAGTGGATACCTATTCAACTAAAGTGGAAATTCTGGAGAAGACAGCCAATGGAAACAGCGCGAGCTAAGTTGGAATGGATAATCAAACTCTTATAAGAGAAAACGGAATCGCTCAAATCATTCCCGTAAATTCAATGTATGGGTCACAGGACTTAAAACTGGTGTGGAAGCGGCCAACCCAACTTTCTTCATGAGCAGTCTTTTCTATTAAGTGTTCAGGTAGGAGAAGCTGGGTCCCATGCCGCTGATAAACATTGCACACGCACGGGTCCACAGCTTTGAAGTCAAGCAGCGAATTGTTCGCCTTGCAGTGGAATCCAGGGGTCTGACCTATGCAGGGAAGAGGATCAGCATCTACCCAGACCTGAGTGCCGAACTGCTAAAAAAGATGGAGACCTACAACGAGGTGAGATCCCAGCTATGCAAGCTAAACCTGAGATACGGCTTCATCCACCCGGCAAAACTCATCTTGACCTTCCAAAGCACAACACACGTTTTCCACTGCCAAGGAAGCTCAAGACTTCTTTGAGAAGCACATCAAACCCAACACACAAGCTGACAGATGGAACCCCATGACTGGCTCATTATTCAGGTATGCTATCCATGCACAATCACGCAGCCTAGCATATGGCTATGATTCTGCCCTCAGCATAAGACAATGATGAGGACAGCCCTCATGTTTGGGTACAAGGAACAATATTACTATTATTGCTGAGCATTAAACTTGTTATAATTATATTGCCTGTGGTCCAGGACATTTACACAGTGATGACACCACACCAATTAATGAACATTGGAGGTATCATACGTACTGGGACTGCTTTCTTGTGTGGCTACAGCGCATTGAATCAATTTGTTCTAAATATGGCAATATAAGTTGATAGTTATCGCCCTACAATTTGTTATTTAATTTTGTATTCATTTTTTTGCTACTGGCAAGGAGAGATGGCCAGTCCCATATAGGCTACTACTAAACAATAGCTTTTATGCTTTTACTTCCTGTTGATTCCTGTCCCCCTCTGTTTAGACTACTGAATGTATATCCCAGGTAGGACTTGACCTACAGGCAATGATGAATTATTATATAAGATCTATAGAGTTAACGTTTTGCACATACCCTCTTGTTGTTTGTACATAGTATAGAGCAGTTAATGGAGGGCAAATGTGTGTTTAAGGTCATTCAAGCATATTGCTAATAATAAATGAAGATAATGGATTAAGTGCTATTGCTCCTACAGCTGTTCTATTTTTGTTTGACTGTTTAAGCATTACGCTTGCATATCTGTCATATCTTGTTTTCATTTTCTTTACTTTTTCTTCATTACCCACCCTTACTCATCAAGTCTGCTAACTTTACTGTAAAGGTCTGAATTGGTTACTTATTTTATGTTTTACTTTATTATTATTATTATTATTATTATTATTATTATTATTATTTGTAATACCTTAAGACCAAAAAAATGCTGCTTAAGAGATTTCATGTGTAAGGCTGGCACTTGCCGTTATGCCATAACCCTGTGATTATAGTGCATGGCGGGGGGAACCGGGGAGGGGGTAATGGGGAGCGGTTTATAGAGGGTCTTCTGGGTGGTGAGCGACCAATGGGTGGGTTTCCCTGTGGGTCTCAAAATCACCATCCTTGGTAAAGGCGGAGACCAAGAAAGCAGAATCACTTTCCTTAAATGTTTCCACAATGGAAAGAAAATTGCCTTTATGAATGTGTATGCTCCATATTCATATGATCCTACATTTTTTGATTCTCTGAACAGCATATTGTTAGAATTAACTGAATTCCAACTGGTTATTGGGACAGACATGAATTTCATTTTGAACATGCAGGACAAATCTAATAAGACCAACTACAATCCACACGCAACCAAGGCTCTCCAACATATAATCTCTGATTACAACCTCATTGATGCCTGGGTAGCACATAATCCAAAAGCAAAAGAGTGCACTTTCTATTCAAACAGGTACAAAACATTCTCCCGAATTGATTTTGTACTATTATCTACTCCTCTATTTTCTTTAATCAAGAAAATCGAAATTCGACATATGAGCCTATCTGATTATCATGCTTACTACTGCCAGCTAAAAATGACAGAATTTCATAAAAGAGCCACAAGACGGTGCTTTAACGTTTCCTTACTACAAAATCCTACTTTATGTGAACACTTTGAAACTGAATTGAATTAATTTATAATGATTAAGAAAAATTCAGTCGATGATCCTTGGATTTTATGGGACGCCATCAAAGGTTTTATTAAAAACAATGCAACTGCATTTGCATCTGGGCTGAATAAATCACAATTAAAGAATTGACTACGCTCTATTGATTAGACAGAGAGCAGATTTTGCCATCCATCAAGATAGACTCAACCATGACTTCCATTTTAATTGTCACAGTCGTTTACTGGCAAACAACCTTTGCAGTAATGTTCAATTAACGCATATTGCAACCGTTTAATCTGAATTAGGTGAATTACTATCAGAACCCAAGTTAAACAACCAAAGATTCTCCCGTTTCTATAAAAAATTGTACACCTCTGATTGTAAATCCACACAAAGCCAGATTGAGTTATTAGAACTTCTATTCTCTCAACTGAGGAAGCTGGCTTGCTAGGAGCCAAATCTCTCTCCATGAACTCAAAGGGGCATTGGATAAAGGGGCCATGAATAAAGGCAAATCACCTAGTTTGGACGGTATTCCTCCTGAGGTCTATTAACATTTTTGGAATCAATTAGATGAACTATTACTCAATGATTAACACAGCTGTTCACAAAGGTTAATTTGGAAAGGATGTAAATACAGCACTAATTTAGCTTTTATTAAAAAAAAGGTAAGGACGGCACCCAGTGCTCTCACTATCGCCCTCTATCTTTGGTAAACATAGATATTAAACAATTTTCTCAAATTCAGTCGTCCCGTCTCGAAACCTACTTACCCAAATTGGTATATCCAGACAAAAGCCGGTTTGTTAAAAAACAAGATAACCTACATGCTTCATCAGAAACCAACGGTCCTTGGCAGTTCTATCTCTCAATGCAAAAAAAAACTTTTGATAGACTAGAATGGTCATAACTTTGTTCAGTTTTGGAGCATATGGGACTTGGCTCCAATTTCATTAATATGATCAAAATACTTTATGCCAATTCTTCAGCCATAGTGATAACAGGCTATACCTGCTCTGCTCCGCTCAGAATAAGTAGAAGTAGCAGGTAAGGTGACCCCATCTAACCTCTGCTATTTTTATTATCTGGGGCGGGGTGGGAAACATGGTTTCCGGGTGGGGAGGGAATATGCGGGCTGGTGGATGGGGACTGGGGGGGGGAGAGGGAGCCTTTTTTGTTTATTTTATTGCATACCAAACTGTTGATACTGTTCTTTATCTTTGTATTCATTTCTGATAGTTTTTTTCTTCTTCTTCTTTGGAGTGGCATGCATATTTGATAACTGAATATATCTGAGTGAATATGACTTTGAATGTTATACCTGTACCTGTAACCCCCCTTCTGAAAAAATGACAAACAAAATAAAAAGTTGATCACAAAAATATTTGGGTTATAACTGCAGGAAATAATCCACTAATTTCAACCTCACACATACTCTCTGTAATGTTTTATGTTCCTCTGCATCACAGGGTTTCTGGACAAAAACAATGACCTGCTCTACAGAAACCTGAAAGAGGTGAGGCTGGAGTAACAATAGAGAAAGGAGAACACAGACCGCACTCTAACACTCACCACACAACCATTATAGGTTTCTCATGAACTCTCTCAGAACTCCCTCACACTGTGTATGTGTGTACACTACAGTAGGTATATACAGTACAGTATCTGTGGGTGTGGTGTGGTGTGTTTACATGGTTCTGTGTTGTGCTTTCTCTGTCCAGGTCATATGCCAGTCAGATAACCAGATCCTGAGTCAGTGCTTCCACAAAGAGGAAGTGACCGACCAAAAACGTCCAGAGACGGTGAGATACACACGCACGTACACACGCACAAAGACACACACACACAGGTCACTAAACTCAACTCCATGATTTACATTGGAGTTGAGCAGCGACTAGTGTGGACGGACTGGAGCTCCGACGTCACACAAAATTACATTTTTATCAAAAGCTACGGATTTCAGCACCCAAAGAATAGCCCGCATTTACTACGACAAAGAATAGCCCACATTTACACGGGACAATGTCATGTTTAAATGCAGGCTATTCTTTGGGTGCTGAAAGTTTAATTTAGTCAGCAAACATGCACACAGACACACACAGTTTGATATCTCACCTCTCTGCTGCCCTCTGCAGGCTGCCACTCAGTTTAAGAACAGCCTGGCCAAACTGATAGAGATCCTGATGTCTAAGGAGCCATCCTATGTGCGCTGTATCAAACCCAACGATGCCAAGCAGTCAGGTAATCATACACTGTAAAGTAAATCAGTCAATCAATCAGTCAATCAGTCAATTTAATATTCTCTCTATACAGGGAGGTTTGATGAGGCTCTGGTCAGACACCAGGTCAAATATCTGGGTCTGATGGAGAACCTGAGGGTCAGGAGAGCTGGCTTCGCCTACCGCCGACGCTACGAAGCCTTCCTACAGAGGTCTGTTTGTCTGTATACAGTGCATTCTGAAAGTATTTAGACCCCTTGACTTTTTCCACATTTTGTTATGTTACAGACTTATTATAAAATGGGTACAAAAAAAGTCCTCATCAATCTACACACAATACCCCATAAGGACAAAGCAAAAACAGGTTTTTATAAATTTTTGCAAATGTAAAATAAAACCAACTGAAATATCATATTTACATAAGTATTCAGACCCTTTACTCAGTACTTTGTTGAAGGACCTTTGGCAGCGATTACAGCCTCGAGTCTTCTTGGGTATGACGCTACAAGCTTGGCACACCTGTATTTGGGGAGTTTCTCCCATTCTTCTCTGCAGATCCTCTCAAGCTCTCAGGTTGGATGGGGAACGTCGCTGCACAGCTATTGTCAGGTCTCTCCGGCGATGTTCGATCAGTCCGGGCTCTGGCTGGGCCACTCAAGGACATTCAGAGACTTGTCCTGAAGCCACTCCTGTGTTGTCTTGGCTGTGTGCTTAGGGTCGTTGTCCTGTTGGAAGGTGAACCTTCGCCCCAGTCTGAGGTCCTGAGCGCTCTGGAGCAGGTTTTCATCAAAGATCTCTCTGTATTTTGCTCTGTTCATCTTTCCCTCTATCCTGACTAGTCTCCCTGCCACTGAAAAACATCCCCACAGCATGATGCTGCCACCACCATGCTTCACCGTAGGGTATGGTGCCAGGTTTCCTCCAGAAGTTTTGGCAAAACTCCAAGTGGGCTGTCATGTGCCTTTTACTGAGGAGTGGCATCCGTCTGGCCACTCTACCATAAAGGCCTGATTGGTGGAGTGCTGCAGAGATGGTTGTCCTTCTGGAAGGTTCTCCCATCTCCACAGAGGAACTCTGGAGCTCTGTCAGAGTGACCATCGGGTTCTTAGTCACCTCCCTGACCAAGGCCCTTCTCCCCCGATTGCTCAGTTTGGCCGGGCGGCCAGCTCTAGGAAGAGTCTTGGTGGTTCCAAACTTCTTCCATTTAAGGTTGATGGAGGCCACTGTGTTCTTGGGGACCTTCATTGCTGCAGAAATGTTTAGGTACCCTTCCCCAGATCTGTGCCTCGCACACAATCCTGTCTCAGAGCTCTACGGACAATTCATTCAATCTCATGGCTTGGTTTTTGCTCTGACATGCACTGTCAACTGTGGGACCTTATATAGACAGATGTGTGCCTTTCCAAATCATGCCCAATCAATTGAATTTACCACAGGTGGACTCCAATCAAGTTGTAGAAACATCTCAAAGATGATCAATGGAAACAGGATGCACCTGAGCTCTATTTCGAGTCTAATAGCAAAGGGTCGGAATACTTATGTAAATAAGTATTTATTTATTTTATAAATTTGCTAAAATTTCTAAAAAACTGTTTTCGCTTTGTCATTATGTTGGTATTGTGTTTTAGTAACAAAATGTGGAAAAGGGGAAGGTGTCTGAATACTTTCCAAATGCACTGTATTATGTGACTGTTTACATGTTTCAATAACCACGATTTCTATATTAACCACATATATTTATTTAACCACAGGTACAAGTCTCTGTGTCCCGGGACGTGGCCTAACTGGCACGGCATACTGGCTGATGGAGTTGCCACTCTGGTCCAACACCTGGGCTACAAACCAGAGGAATACAAACTGGGAAAGTATGTACACACAGGGAGGGAGGGGGAGGGAGGGAAGTAAGGGGACTTCCATTTGCCTTAGTCATGTTATGAGGAGAAACATCAGACAGTATGTTGTTGATGTATAATTCCCTATCTCTTTGTAGGACCAAGATCTTCATCCGCTTCCCAAAGACTCTGTTCACCACTGAAGATGCCTTGGAGGCCAGGAGGCCTGCCCTTGGTAAGACTATACAGCAGGGAGGATGATGACAAGGCCGTTTAGTTTGGGGGAATCCATGTATTAAAGAAAATAACATAGATCATGATAAACAGCAGAGTAGTAGTAGCAGTAGAAAACAGTGAACTGCCCTTGGCAGAAGTATGAGGATGTATAATACACTAAGCAAATGTAATTAGGATATAATTGATATAGTCTGTTCTGTGGTCCAACCATTTTCTATCCTCTGTTCCTGTGCTCTGTTCTAGCTCTCACCCTACAGACCTCATGGAGGGGCTACAGAGAGAGGGCCAAGTATCACCGCATCAGACACGCAGGTGAGGGCCTGGATCAAACAGCTCACACTCTTATCTGCTTCTCAATTACTGCTTCCTCAAGCAGTTACTCTGCAGCCACTTTCTTGGTATCTGCTGAATGAAGTAAGGCCGAGAATATGACTTTGTTTGTTCTTCAGAGCTCTGCACAGTTGTAGCTTGTTGGTGTGTTTCTGTGACATTACTGATTGTTTTCTCTCTATATAGTGCTAGTGATCCAGTCTGCCTGGAGAGGGATGAAATCCCGCCGTAAGGCAAGGCGTCGCAGACACGCTGCTGAAATCATACGCAAGTTCATCAAGGGCTTCATCTACCGCCACTATGAGCGCTCTCCAGAGAACGAGTACTTCCTGGACCATCAGCGTTTCTCTTTCCTGATGACACTGGTTAGGAACCCGCCCAAGAGTGTCCTGGACAAGAGCTGGCCCATCCCCCCACCTAGCCTCACTGAGGTACTGCAGCCCCACAGTACACACACACACACACACTGAAGGAAATTTAGCGTAAGCCAAGGTGTGATGGTGCAATGCATCTGACTGTTGTACATTCAATGTGTCAATGTTTTATTTGTATCTGTCCCTATGTCTGTGTAGGCGTCGGAGCATCTGTGCAGGCTGTGTATGCAGAACATGATGCGGGCCTACTGCAGGAGGATCCAGCCGGAGTGGAAGAAACAGGTATGCTACTCTACTGTCTGTATCTGTCACTCACCTGACAGGAACACATAGAAAGGATATTTCTGTCCTCTTTCTATTATTTTTATTCTCTCTTACACACACTCTGTCTCTCGCTCTCTCGGTCTCCCTACTCCATTCCTTCTCCCCTTTTCTCCTTCTGTCTCTTTCTCCAACTCTACATGTATCTCTTCTGTCTCTTTCTCCAACTCTACATGTATCTCTTCTGTCTCTTTCTCCAACTCTACATGTATCTCTTCAGTCTCTTTCTCCAACTCTACATGTATCTCTTCAGTCTCTTTCTCCAACTCTACATGTATCTCTTCTGTCTCTTTCTCCAACTCTACATGTATCTCTTCAGTCTCTTTCTCCAACTCTACATGTATCTCTTCTGTCTCTTTCTCCAACTCTACATGTATCTCTTCTGTCTCTTTCTTCAACTCTACATGTATCTCTTCTGTCTCTTTCTCCAACTCTACATGTATCTCTTCTGTCTCTTTCTCCAACTCTACATGTATCTCTTCTGTCTCTTTCTCCAACTCTACATGTATCTCTTCTGTCTCTTTCTCCAACTCTACATGTATCTCTTCTGTCTCTTTCTTCAACTCTACATGTATCTCTTCTGTCTCTTTCTCCAACTCTACATGTATCTCTTCTGTCTCTTTCTCCAACTCTACATGTATCTCTTCTGTCCTCTCTCTATAGATGGAGCAGAAGGTGGTAGCCAGTCAGATCTTCCAGGACCAGAAGGACAGCTATCCCCAGAGTGTCCCTAAGCTGTTTGTTGCCTCCAGACTAGGTAGGTCACACACACTCACTGACACGCTTGGTACACACCACAGGCGGCTGGTTGCACCTTAATTGGGGAGGACGGGCTCATAGTAATGGCTGCAACGGAATAAATGGAATGGTATCCAGCACATCGTTTCCTAGTGTTTGATACCATTCCATTCACTCCATTCCAGCCATTATTATGAGCCATCCTCCCCTCAGCAGCTTCCTTCGAAACTTCACAGACCATCACAGACTTGACAAACACACCACTGATAGATGCTCTTTCCTGTATACAGACAGTGAGGAGTTCAACCTCAAAGTGATACAGACTCTGGGCAATGACAAAGTGAAAGTGAGTAATATGATATTGTAATACTATCCCCCTGTAGTGTTTGCGTCAGTTTGGACTGGAGTCTACCGTGACCCCTGTCTCACCGGTCTCACCTTTGTCACTCTGTTGTTGTTGGCTGAGTAGTTAAATCCTGCTAATTGGTTGTTTCTTGTGTACAGTGTCTCTATAAAGTTATGTATTGCTTTGAAACAATATTGATACAGAAACCTTGACAACTTTGGGTTTTTATGACAACCCCTCACTCTCTCTCTTTCTCTCTCCATCCCCCTCTCCTTCTGTCTGTCTGTGACAGTATGGAGTTGCGGTGACTAAGTATGATAGGAGGGGTTACAAGGCGCGGCCTCGCCAGCTGCTCCTCACCTCCTCCTTCGCCATGCTGGTGGCTGAGGCCAAGCTGAAGCAGAAGATCGACTACGCGGCCCTGAGGAGTGAGTCTCTGCTGGGGGCCATAGGGGATTGAGGGGCCGGGGGTGGTGGGCCAGGGGTGAGGGCAGGCCTGGAGGAGGGGGCAGGGGGGTTGAACTTAAATAGTTAGGCCTCAGGAGTTTTTAGTAACATTGCTTATAAGATAGTGGTAGTGTGTGTGCACTGTATAACAGGGTGCCATTCCTCTCTTTCCAGGCATCTCTGTGAGTTCTCTGAGTGATGGGTTCATGGTTCTGCACGTGCCCAGTGAGGACAACAAGCAGAAGGTAGCAGGATGACCTCATCCTGGTTATTCTATCTAGCAGTTGTCATGGTGACTTACTGCCATGGTGCCATAAAGTACAATACCTAACATCTGACCACTTGTCTGCCCTGTAGAGTGATGTGGTGCTCCAGTGTGATCATGTGATCGAGGTGGTGACCAAGCTGGCCACCATGGCGGACAAGAAGAACAAGGTCAACATCAGCCAGGACAGGTGGGTCTGGCTCATAGAATTAGGAATTAGAATAGGATCTCTATGGTCAGGCTTCTCTGATCATCTGGACACTGGATAGCTTCATGACCTTTTTCAGAGTATTTTTGTCAATCCATTCCAACTGTCATGCTCTGTTTGTGCTAATGACACCTTTCTATTTTATTCCCTCCTCTCTCTCATCCCCTCTCACCCCCACCCCACCCCTTCCTCTCCTCCCTCTGGTCCTCTCCTCCTGTCTGTTCCTGTGTGCAGTATTACGTTTGCGGTGGCTCGGGGGAAGGAGGGGGTCATTGATTTCACCAGTGGACCAGAGCTGAAGGTGGCCAAAGGCAAGAAAGGACACCTGTTGGTGGTGAGTCAGGGGATGGGAGAGGAGGAAACATATTATTATGAGGACAGTAGGGCTGAGGAAGGGAAGGTGAGGACTTCTCGATGGAGGACGAGCTGAGCTGGGATTGTAAAATGGAAAGCAGTAGAGTTTTAAAGATGGCTAACTCTTTCATGTCTATATTTTCACTGGAAGTTTTGACCAATAATCCGCATTAGGCACTAACAATGACCTCGTGGATTGACTTGTTTTGCAGACGGCTCCTCAACTCAACCCAAGATGACGATGGCAAGTAATGACAACCTCGCTGTAATCCACAGCGAACCAATCATTCCACAGGATGATTTCCTGCTTTAGCCAATCAGATTATAGCCACACAGAAGTAATTTTTCTCCTTTAAATGTGAGACCACAGCCATACACTGCCTACTACAAGATAATGATTATTTTCTCTGTTAGCACAATTGAACTTATAATTCTTAATTTAGATAGTTATTGATTAAATAGCATATTATCATATATAAATGGATTCAGAGGTTTTGCCGGAATTCATAATACTTTGTTGTTTATTAACAAAACTCGTATTAAATGAAACAACACATTTTCAATCTTATGCTTCATCTTTATTTTGTAGTCCTTTACAATATATTAGCTCTTGTATGTAATACAAATAAAAACTATATTTAGATTTCCATAATAACAAAAATAAACAGCATTTTCAAATAAATAAGTAATAAATAAGTAAATAAATAGGCAAAAAGGCTTCTTTGGAAAGTACAGTGAAATGAGGGCTGTGGGAAAAGGGGATGTTGGGTAGTGTTTCTCAACACTCTTCTTGCGCTCGGCTGTTAGAGTCAGCAAGAGAGAGAAAGAAAATAAGGAAACTCAGGGAGAAACCCAGAGGAGAGTAAGGCTGTAAGACTTACAGTAATACTACGTGTAAACCTGGTTTCAGTCTAACAAAGTCAACAGAGCATCTCACAACAATGAGAAATCACAATCTTAGGGAGTACCAGAAATTATAAACCGGGTAGTTTGGCTCCTGGATGCTGTTTGGCGGAAAAGCTGTGGTATATCAGACAATATTCCACGGGTATGACACAAAACTACTTGTTTACTGTTCTAATTACATTGGTAACCTGTTTATAATAGCAATAAAACACCTCTGGAGTTTGTGGTATATGAGCAATATATCACGGCTAAGGGCTGTATCCAGGCACTCCATGATGCGTTGTGCATAAGAACAGCCTTATCCTTGGTATATAGGGCCATATACCATACCCACTCGGGCCTTATTGATTAATTTAACCCTATCATTAATGCAGTTGAAATAACACCATCAGGTATTGACATCACTTTGTAATATTGAGTCACAGTACTGTCTTTGTCATAGTAATACTGAATGAAATATATCATTATTATCACCTTATAACGCTGATTATTAGCTGCCTTGTTACTGCTGAAATAAACTGTGTGCATTGACTACATAAAATACTGTTGTGTTATAATTAAAAATACTACAATTGTAAATTCTCACATCCAACAATGTCCCTAGTCCACAAAATAAGTTAAAAGCCACTCTGACCGCAACTTGTCACAGGCTAGTGCAGTACTAGTATGCATTATGAATATGAATCCATGCATACCGTGTCTATCTACCCCTGGGCTGGGCGCCTGGAGGACCTCTGTGTTTGGTCTTCAGGAGGTGGAAGTCTCTGGCCAGCTTAGTGAGGTAGCGCTCCAGGTCCCTGAGGATGACGTAGCCCTCCAGGCGGCTGGTCCACAGGGACTTTGATGGGGCCTGGTGGCTGGAGGGAGGGCTCACTGCACCGGTCAGGGCTGGGGGAGAGATGGGGCTCACGCTGGAGCTGTTCACACATCTCAACTGTAAAGACCACAGAGAGGTTTATCAGACTGAGCGCATAACATTTCTCCTCACAGGAGCTACTGAGTAGTCATAATGGGTAGCTATATTAACACCTAATATAGTGTGCAGAGAGAATAAGTCTACACTCACTAAATGTGTGAACACCTCAAATGTGTATGTGTGTGTGCGTTCGTTCATGTATATGGCGCACATTGTCTGTACCTGAAAGTTGACTTTGGTCATGAGATCCCGCAGGTCTGTCAGAATGCACTGTATGCTCTCAGGTATGGTGGGTTTAGCCTTGCCACTGCGCCCCATCCCGTGGGCTGCCCCCTGTCCCACCTCCTCCCTCTCCATCTCCCTTCTCTTCATGTCCAGGTGAGCCCAGAAGGTATGCAGGTCTCGAGAGGCAGCACTCAGACGCTCCCAGTCCTGTACAGGCCAGATAATAAAAAATTTCACAATGTCACTCCTATTCTATGGTACCTTTTTAAAGCATTAAACCACAACAGGTTAACAAATGGTACAGGTCACACACAAACACAAACCTTCATCTGAAGCCAGTGGTAGAAGTCTGTAGAGAGGGATGGTAGGGTCTGCAACTCCAGACTTCTGTCCTCAAACTGCTTGTTATCCAACTGCTCCTCCTTCTGGCAAGACAAATGATGGTACATTATGATAACCGCCTCTAGTAGGGGAGGATAGCTATTGTCTCTGGGCATACAGAAGCTCTAGCAGACTAGCCACCAGTAATAGAGGTTAACAGAGGAGTCAACTCACATATCTCCTGAGCAGCTGCTGTACCCGGGCGTGGGTGCACATGGTGGATTTGAGGGAGTATGAGTAAGCCTTGAGTAGGCCTGGAGGGGACGCACAACATGGGTACACACAGCAGAGGGTATGGAAGAACAGGGGAAACAGAACCCGCCACCAAACAGACATCTGGAAGAGACAGGGACAGGATGAGTGATTGCTAAACTGCAAAATCATGTCAACATTTGTCAATGAATGAAAGTCGACATGCAGAACAAAAATAGCCAGCCTTTCTGAATCAATACCCAATACATGTTGGTAACTTGTGAAACTCTCTAATATGTAATATTTTACAACACCTGTAATGCTCAACACTAGCTAGAGTGAGATGGACAGAGACAGAGCAGACTTACCTTACAGAGATAACAATCTGTGATTGACAAATATCCTAGCTGCATCCTTTGATATTTATGTATGTCTTCAGTTTCTGTTGTGGTCTGGAGTTTTTCTCAGCAGCTCGTATAGCGTTTCCTGCTAACCTGCCCATTTCTCTATTGTTGCCTAAGTGTAGAAGTTAGTAAGCACAAAATTACATTATTCATTTTTCGGTAACATTTACATTTTAGTCATTTAGCAGACGCTCTTATCCAGAGCAACTTACTCACTCCAGAGTGAGTGCATACATTTTTTCATACTGGCCCCCCGTGGGAAACGAACCCACAACCCTGGCATTGCAAGCGCCATGCTCTACCAACTGAGCTACACGGGACCTAAAATAGGGCCTAATATGATGATTGTTCATTGTTGTATAATTACTCAATATTATCATATTTTTATCAAACTCAAACTGTTCTGTAAGTTTTTACAGTGTAAATGCAATCTAGCCTAATTAGTCATTATATGTAATATTCTGTTGAGTTTAGTAATGAAACTAAATCTTTTTTTTAATAGTTATTGGACACTTACATTTTCGCAGAATCTCTTATCCAGAGCGACTCAAGGGCACATCAACAGATTTTTCAGCTAGTGTGCTCGGTGATTTGAACTAGTGACCTTTTGGTTACTGGCCCAAGCTCTTAACCGCTAGGCTACCTGCCCTTTTTCAGTTATTGGGGTTCAGAAATCTAGAGTCACTCCTTTACACTTTACATTAGTAGCGTGTCAAATTATTTTCTAACAGGGTTTCTAAGTAGTGTAAACTCTAAATTAATAGTTAACAGTTTATTCCACAAATCCCTTCATACTTACAAACCCCTTTATAATTGTATACCTTATATATACTATTATACCTTAGGGCGGCAGGTAGCTTAGTGGGTAAGAGCGTTGTGCCAGTAACCGAAAGGTCGCTGGTTCTAATCCCCGAGCCGACTAGGTGAAAAATCTGTCGATGTGCCCTTGAGCAAGGCACTTAACCCTAATTGCTCCTGTAAGTCGCTCTGGATAAGAGCGTCTGCTAAATGACTTAAATGTAAATGTATACCTTAATTTATATGGATGGTTATAGAAGAAGATTATGAAATGACATGATTATCTAAATTACAGTATTTTGTTCCAGAAATAGAGAACTAACCACTGCCTAAAATAATCCCGGAAACGAAAACTCCTTTGGGCAATCTTTTTGGTTGTTTCTTTTCTCTACGCTCATCGACGACACTTTTTTTGTGGTGTGCTCTCTATGTGGGGAACTATTCCAGAGAAGCACCGTAATGCCTGTGTCTCAACTGTGTCATCAAAACGTCTCTATCCTTGTGATGTTTTTAAATGAGTGGGTGGGTTGTACAAGCTACTTTCTGTATTCATTCCTATTTCTTCAGGTTGTCTTTTTATTCAAAGTGACTTCTATTCAGTAACACTTTGACATATACTGCACAACCCACCTGGGCGGATGTTTAGTATGAAAAGCATTTCCCATACATGCACACCAGAAAAACTCAAAACGCAATTAATAGTAGTTTTGAAAGTAAGTAATTGTGAAAGCACTGTTCTCATGCAGGATACAGCAGCGGTCTAAGGCACTGCATCTCAGTGCTTGAGGCGTCACTACAAACACCCTGTTTCGATTCCAGGCTGTATCACAACCGGCCGTGATTGGGAGTCCCATAGGGCTGCGCACAACTGGCCCAGCGTCGCCCGTGTTTGGCCGGTGTAGGCCGTCATTGTAAATAAGAATTTGTTCTTAACTGACTTGCCTAGTTAAGTAAAGGTTGAATTAAAAAAAGAATAAATAAATACAGTAATTCACTACTTTGAGACGGGCAGCACAGTGAATCAAATGGTACACATGGCATGGAACAGCAGTGTACGCTAGCCTACAGCACAAGTCATTTCGAAGTCTGCCTGGCACAGTCATATCAAAGTGTAGAAAGCACCATTTTTGGGGAAGGAATTTGTAATGCACAAATTGAATAATTGAATTCATAAATTGAACTTGCATTTCATGATTTTAATGAATATTGCATTTAGTTTTAAATGTAATTAAATATTGAAATAAAATATGTATATATTCAGTTTCAATATGGTAGACATTGCATTCATTGTCTGTGTATCAAGTTTACGATCTATCATTTGAAGTTTACAAAAGTTTAATATATTCAACTCCTCAGATGCATTAAGATTACGTTTTCAAATTCAATTCTCGAAATTCAGATTCAAAACCAGAGACAACATCCTGGTACTTTGCCATCCAGGAACGGTAGAAGAGAACAGATCAAATCAAACGCGTGGTTTCTAGAGGTTGGTGCGGTCTTGAGATAGCACTGAGTCACGTCTGTGTGTTATACACGGTCTGACTGAGTAATAGTGGTTTCTTCTCTTTTTCTCTTCTCTCTCGATTGCGAGAGAGAGAGAGCATTCATATAAAAAAAAACTATGTAAGAATCTTTCAGAAAAAGTCCAGATCTCAGAAAAGTTGATACTATTTCACCCTAGGAGAAACAACCCTGAAACACATTTACATTTTAGTCATTTAGCAGACGCTCTTATCCAGAGCGACTTACAGTTAGTGAATACATATTTTTTTTATACTGGCCCCCCGTGGGAATCGAACCCACAACCCTGGCGTTGCAAACGCCATGCTCTATCAACTGAGCTACATCCCGGCCGGCCATTCCCTCCCCTACCCTGGACGACGCTGGGCCAATTGTGCGCCGCCCATGAGTCTCCCGGTCGCGGCCGGCTGCGACAGAGCCTGGATTCGAACCAGGATCTCTAGTGACACAGTTAGCACTGCGATGCTAACTTAGGATAAACACCACCAACTATACTTACCTTGGTCTGACTATAAATTAATCTGGCCGGTTTTACTTGGCCATAAAGTCTCTAACAGATAAAGACCCTGTATAAATGTAACCTACCAATTAGAATTTGGCTTAAATTATTTGACTTTGTCATAACTCCAATCCTTCTGTATGGCAGAGAAACTTACAATTTAAAATATACATAATGGGATAAATGCCCCACCAAAGTTTTACACCTGGAATTTTGTCAAAATATTCTAGGTGTGCACAGAAATGCCCCAAGCCTAGCCTGTAGGGCAGATCTTGGGAGATTCCCCCTAGCATTTCAAATTGAGAAAAGAGCCACAAAATTCTGGACTCACCTAACACACTGTGATCCAGAATATTATCATCACAATGCTTTTTTATGCAAACACCGTAACCAGAGAGTGACCCTTCAGACTAGCAATTGGCCCAAAAGCATCAACTAAATTAAACCATTCAACCACAAATAACAAAATTCTAACAAATAGAAATCTCAATTTAATCACAAACTTCAATGTTACCACATTCTAAATAGAAATATCAAATTTGCACAACACTTTGTCAAGATCAAAGAATTCAAACAATGGAAGACATTAACAATGTACAGACTCAGTGACCATAGCCTGGCCATAGAGACGCCATAGAAAAACATGAAAGCTCATAGAAGAAAGGCTATGCAAGCACTGTGGGTCGGGTGATGTGGAGAATGAGCAGCACTTCCTACTCCACTGCTTCAAATGTCTCTCAATCAGAGATATTTATCTCCTGAAATTTAAAGAAAGAATTGCAGGTTTTCTGGAACTGCCTGTTGAGGAGAAAATCTGCGTTTTGTTAGGAGAAAACGTAGAGACAGTAGATCATGCTGCAGATTATGTTCTGGCCTGTTATAATATATGCGAAACAATATGTCACCATGTCATACACATTAGCCCTTGTAGATTTACTTTCTCAATTGTTGCTGTTGTTTTCTTTTTGTGTATAGTTTTCCATGTATAATTGCTTTTGTTGATATACAGTACCAGTCAAAAGTTTGGACACACCTACTCATTCAAGGGTTTTTCTTTATTTTTACTATGTTCTACATTGTAGAATAATAGTGAAGACATCAAAACTATGAAATAACACATATGGAATCATGTAGTAACCAAAAGTGTTAAACAAATCAAAATATATTTTAGATTTTAGATTATTCAAATTCTTTGCCTTGATGACAGCTTTGCACACTCTTGGCATTCTCTCAACCAGCTTAATGAGATAGTCACCTGGAATGCATTTCAATTAACAGGTGTGCCTTGTTAAAAGTTAATTTGTGGAATTTCTTTCCTTCTTAATGCGTTTGAGCCAATCAGTTATGTTGTGACAAGGTAGCGTTGGTATACAGAAGATAGATATATGTAGTGTATTTTCAGAGCATTTGGATAATTACTTTTTCACTAGTTTTACTTTTCAAATTGTGAATGACTGAACTGTTTTTTTTAGGGGGGGGGGGGGTTTAGAGAGAGAGACGGGGGGCAGGGAGGCGAGTGAGGATGAGAGGTCTTAGTAATTTCCTGGATTGCGGAAGCATGCCGTTTCATCACAGTCTTGTGCTGTGAGTGGCAGGCTGGTTGGCATATTCACCATTATTTCACCATGACAGAAATAGCAGAAAGAGAAGTTTCTGTGCTGCCGATCTCCTGGTGATCCCCAGAATCAACCGCCTGGAGGGG